CTTTTACTTCGTAAGAGAAATGCAATAGAAACAGATTCACTATTCGCTTTTTTATTGTTTTTTAATTATATACGCCGGGTAAAAGCCCTAAGATTTTTGTCTCTAATAGATCGAAAAGTCATTTAGGTATATAATACGTCGACTTTGGTATGAACGCTCACTTGACTTAATGCCTGCTGCATGAAAATTTGCTGACGCAAAATATATTGTACTCGCAATCTTCAATAGTATAATTAGTCAAAACTTAAGATACTAATATATTATGCAATTTACGCTTTTGCTGAGAAAAACCTGCGACTCAAACACTTTAACAAAACAAAATACAATGAAATGAAATTAAACTTTACTCGAGTAGAATCGTCAATTTATAGTTATCTTACCTAGAACCTAGAACCTTCTAGATATTCTTTGCTTCTAAACTTTGTTTAGAAATTGACTTTTAATTGTTGCTTAAAATCCAAAAAGTCATGAGCTTAATAAGGTCAGAGTTATGTGACTTAACTACTTACTCGTAAAATAAACGTAAGTATTTGGCAAGTTCCTTATTTCCTCAAGCCTAATCGCAGACTAACTACTGGTCGCTAAATCAAGTGGATTTATTGCCGGCGTAATGGTGAAAGTTGCTCTAATGTTACCTCCGACGATTATTCGCTTGATGACCGCTCGCTAAGCTACGTGTACGAGTATCTATGTAGCACTGACCAATGCGGGATGTAGTGATATTATTTACTTTAGTTACATGTCAATCTTTTAATGGAAATATTTTCTTGTGTTGTATGGAGTTTGTTTAACATTTGGTCACTGTGATATGATATAGAAGGTGTACTAAAAATAATTATAATATGGTATCGCCTTTTCATAACCATGGTGTCATATAATGCAGTATACGAGTAATATTGCTATGAATCTAAAAGTGAGTTCGAAGTTCCTTCAAAACAAGATTTTAATGCTTTCGTATCATTCAAATTTGAGTGTAAATGAAATTTGGTTATTTAACGATATGTAAATATTTATCTGAACATAAGGAGAAAAAATTTGCTTCGATGACGATCGTACTAGTATTATAAATGCGAAAGTTTGTGAGGATGTATTGATGTCTTGATGTATAGGTGTGCAGATTTTTGTTACTCTATCACACGAAAACTATTCACAAAAAATTTTACAATAATATAGCTCATACAACAGAATAACACATAGGTTACTTTTGATCCCGGAAAAATGTACGGTTCCCGTGGGATTTATTTTTGTTTTCTATTTCTAAATAAAGCGAAGCACATAGAAGTTATCAGATTTCCAAATCAAAATTTTGAAACACTGCTTATTATTCAAATACTCAAAATACATGATAGATGTGTTTTATATTGTTTTTCTAAAATTTAGTTAAATTTTATCTCATTTCAATAAGTTTAACTTTAGGTATATTTTATAATTTGAAAAGTCTTTGAACATCAAAATCATAAAATCACCATATTTTCTTTTATGATAGGACAAAACCGCATCAGAGTTAGACCGGGCTAGAAATAAATTAAAATGAATGTCGAAATTCTAAGTTCTTCATTTATTCATTCGTCTGGAGAGTAATAAATTAATAAACAAAAGTTATAAGTCATCTCATGCAAGGCGGCGCCGACTAATGCAGCAGTAAAATCCTTATTAGGTATTCAGCGAACAGCGCGAGAGAGTTGTAAAAATCTCGTAAAATCCTAGTCCTGGTATTAAACGTACGGACGCTGCACTGGCAACACTTCATGAAGAATATCGGAAAGGATATTTTCCTTTTAGAACGAGCGAAATATCTGAATTTTTAAATGAAATTTAGATATAGAAGACTAGACACCCAATGCTTTCGTCTCCCAAATGCTAATATTAGAAACTTAAACGTCAGTCTGTTTGTTCGTCTCCCCTCTTTCTTAACTATCACATAGGTACAGTTTAAAATTTTCGTCTAAGTTTTACTTACAGGCATTCGCCAATAGATATATTTAATATTAACACCTTATACGATATCAAGAATCAAAGTTACTGAAAAAGCTCGAGGTCCGCTGAAAAAGAAAATAGTTCTGATATACTATATATTATGTACATATAATACCTACGCTTTTTTCGCTGTTGAGGCATCTAACAGATGCTACTGCTAGGCTTGTTTATTTCAGCTACTTTCACAGCATCTTGTCTTATGGTATTTTGTTATAGGGTAATGAGACGGGAATGAAATCTATATTTATTTAAAAACAGAGCTATTCGGGATATTTATTACACTACGAAATACGTACGATACGATACTCTACGAAAACGTTTTGAAAAGTGGTTTAATTATGGTCGCATCGCAATTTATACATTAGTTTATGTACTAGAAATAAGGTTAAACTAATAATTTCTAGTTTTCGCCTTCAAAACATGAATAGATCGTTTATGGGGCAAGGTGTCGTATGTACGAGTATAATAGGATTCCACAGTCGATATAGAGCTGCCATTTAAACAATTTAAGTATGAGATTTTAAAAATATATTATTATATATTTAATATTATCGCCAAATTCAAAAAAATGTTAAAAAACGTTTTTGTGCTAAAGGCATATTATACATTAAATGATTTTATAGAAGATGGCACACCTTGGGAATGAAATGATCGCCTCCAGGCTACTTCAACTTCATAGAAATATTATAAATTATAATTTTACTCTAAAAAAAAGATAAGTTAATATTGGTCCCGCTGAGTTTCTTTCTCCAGTTCTTCTCAGGTCTGAGGCTTCTTCTTTCCGAACTGGTAGTAGACTTATGACGTTCAGTAAATTTTTTTAATAATTTAATGCTGAATAAAATATTTTGATTTTGAATAAAGCTTATTGCACCATCATGGAAAACTTTGCAGATGTCAATGTGTGGGACTAATGTCGATAGTTGGGTGTTACGTAGGATAAGTAAATAATATTATTGCATTGCAATATTGTAAACAAATATTATTTTAAAAGAGCAACTGTTGACTTTCTCTTAGGTTCTTCTCAGCAGAACTGCTTTCCGAGCCGGTGGTATATTTCTCAAAGACTAGCATGTTGACATTCATTTAAATTTTAAAAACGTAAAAACTGACGATTCAGAAGTGTTTGTATAAAGTTTATTCAAATAAACTATAAAATATATCTGACAGATGGTTTTTTTTTTAATCTCTATATAGTCAAGGAATGTTAATATAATGGTAATAATTTGTTATATTCAGTTCTCTTTACACTAAAAACTAATTGTATGTAAAGAAGAAGATACGAAAATATTGTGCGAGTATCTAAGTGTATTTTGTATAACACATGCGTATTTCCTATAGATATTTTTACTTTTTTTTCTATTATTTGACACAAATCACAGTTTTAATTAATAATACTTCATGCTATTAGTTGTTTTTTATTTTTATATTACCGTTTTCTTGTTACGTCAGTGCTGCCGTGTAGCGGGAATTTACTTCCAATTAAAATTCGTGGACAGGTTAAATCTTGAGTTTTCTACGCGCATACTTTGTATCTTAACTCAGAATACATTTTTCGCTGTTCAAAAACAGTGGAATTCATGAACCAATCAAGAGCATAAAATGTTTATTATACTGGAAAATGATAGTTTTATCGAACCAGAGATCTCGTGTAAATATATTATAATTAATAAAAAAATATTTGAATATTTTTTAATATCCAAGGCAAAGCTCGAGTTAAAATAGTAAATATAATACATAATATTGATAATATTTCATGAAAAGTTTGGTGAATATCTGTTCAGCCACAACGCGATAAAGGTAGTGTTGAACAAAATGATTTTATATATCAGTACCGAGTCATTGTCTCCATCTATTCTCATTACCGATACAATGGGTAATGGTTTCTATTCATTGCTTTGTTTACTTTTGCGCACTTTATTTTGATTCTTATTGCTTTATTTAGTTCAAAATATTATTTACCTATAAGAAAAACACAGATTATTTAAAAATTTATTTATTTCAAGTAGTAGTTATTATTTTCCAGTTTTACTGTGGCTTTAGCTGACATAAGTTGTAAATTAGAGTATAGTTAAATGAAATCCCGATATCCCTTATGTTCAATGTTATAATTTCCACCACATTTTTCCGATAAATAAATATACTTAGACAAAAATTACCACATAATAATTAAAGTCACGATTTTAAAGTAAAATGCCAGTAGATCAAAGGTAAGCAGTAGCAGAATATTAGTAAGGCGGTTGCTTGGAAAGCCGAGTGATGCGAGTTCAAGCCTGGGTCTCGCACTTATGAGATTTTTATGTTCGTATCATTTTCAGTATAAATACATTTTCCTTGTACAATAAAGGAAAATATTCTGTGGCAACATGAAAGTCTGAGAGAACTTACCTAGTCTTCATCATCGAATGACGTGTAATCCAACGCCGCATTAGTTAGTGTGGTGGACTGCCCTTAATCCCTCTATATCTATTTTAATTTTGCATTATTCACCGTAAATCAATTAAAGCTCGACCACATGTTTGCTAATTTGATAGATTTAAACTAAACAAGTTATAATATACATTGTAACTTGTTTAGTTTAAATCGCCACAAGATATCACCCTAGAATGATTCGAGAAGCCACAGAAATAAAAAAAAACATCCAAATTTCAATAGGGATGGCTGGGTACTACCATCATCATGGGATCCTGTTATTAATATAATAAAATCAAATAATAAATCTAAACATAACAGACAGGTAGATGTTTAAAAACTAGGTTTACTAACTACAAACTAAACTTTCATTACTATAATCCGCCATATCTATTTACCCCCGAATTTTACGATAAGTACCTACCTAAAAAAATTTACTACTCGTCTACATATATTAAAAATTCAAAAGTTGGTTTGTTCTTCTTAATCTTTCCCACCTGAGGACAAGCATGGGAGAAAGCTATAGTGAAGATAGGTTTCTAGTACATTTGAAGAAGAGAACAGAACTAGAAGAAAATTAGAAAACTGATTTGAGCATCCTCTTGTTTCAGGCATGCACCGCAAGTCATTGGAGGCGGCGCAGCACCTGAAGGAGTCGGGGTCGGAGCGAGAGGGCTCGGAGGCAGAGGGAGAGTGCGCGCCCTCCGCTTCACCGCGGCATGACGTTCATGATAACCAGGTAGCTAACATTATTCTATTCTTCTCTGTAGCATAATGCTGCATTCATCTTTATTGGCTAACATCGCCTGCAGATTGTGACATCTTTAAAATCGAGATCTAGGTGTGGTGTGTGGTATGTGCGTTATCGCATTAAGTAGGTCATAAAGTTTAAAGGTTTATTATAAGCTCAATGCTATTATAAATACAATAGTTGGTATGTGTGTGTCTTTGTTACTTCTGTTCTTCACGCGAAAATGGCTGGGCGGATTTGGCTCAGATATACTATGACTTGGAGTAGCACATGGGCCACTGTTATGTACATAGGGACGCGCCCGAACGAGGCTGGGGTAAATCATTACGTAGTATATAAAATAATTTGAAGTCATATTTTTATACTTATGTCATATTTTAAATTAAAGTGAAACCAGAATATTTGAATAATTAGTACAGCATAGGTACTATAATTAGTATAGGAAAATATTATATACTCGCCGTCATATTATATAGTGTTAGAAAATTATAAGTTCTGTGCAGTATATTCAGTTTAAAAGGTAGGAAAGATCTCTGAAATATATTGAAGTTCCCCACCCGCTTGGGAATATAAGATCGTTAATAGAAATTGTAGGCGCAGCAGATTTTAAATGCTGTGAAACGTCCCACAGGTACTAGATGCAGGTGATACCTAGGTACCATTTGATTAGTAGTCGAGATTAGATTTTCCCCCAATAATACTTTAAGATATTAATATAGTAAATCGGAAGTATAGAAACTTCAACAAACACATTTTTACCCTAGCAATCTTAGTTCGCTGGCTTCAGCCACGTAATAGGTGTAGTATTAGGGCCACTCCACACTACAATGCAGCCCGTTCACGATCCGATATTGGTCTGGTCAAGTTTTTTAACAAGACATATTGCTGGAACTTATAAAAAGCTGCATGACTTACAAAGTACCAGACGATACTTTATCGGACAGAGAACAGTGCGCATAGGGCCTAATGTGCAAATATTATAGCAATTGATTCAATTTTTAACAAACCTTACCAAAATGGTTAACAAACCTTCCCATTTATAGTATCTATATTTATAGTATATATATTAATATACTTTTTTCCACCACAAAGCTATGACGGATCATAGTTGAAATATAATTGCACTAATGGCCAAGCATTAGATCGCGCGTGCCCCCGCATGCATTCCGCGGCACGCATATTAATATGCCATGATATGTATATATACATATATCTCGTTAGAATGCACTTCATTACGTGTACACTGGAGACGTTTAAGGACAGGAATTTCGTGATCTCATACTCCTATATTAGAATCTTTAACACTAAGTTTCAGTTGCCTAATTCTTTTTTGTTCTTATTCAGTTTTGAATTAATATAAATTGTTTTAATTTTTCAATTATTAATGGCACTGATTTTTATATAAAACTAGCGACTCACCCTCGCTCCGCTCCTGTCCGTCCCTAGTTATGTAATAAGGTTTAGTATAGATTTCTCAGAGATGAGATATTTTCCCGCAATAAAAAGTATCCTATATACCCGGATTACCAGCTATATATTCGGCCTCTGTATCGATATTAATGACTATTTCAATGAGATTTTCCAAAGAATATTTAATGTACAGATTCAACTCAATTAGAATTTTATTATAGATATTTCTGCTAGTACATATATAAAAATCTCAATTGTTTAACACAGTTCTCCCATCTGCAGGCACAGAGCTCCCCCGGCAGCAGCACGACGGCGTCGTCGTCCGCGAAGGGTCGCGCGTCCCCCGACGGCCGCGAGCTGTACGAGGATCCCGAGGCCTTCCGCAACAACAGCATCGCTTGCTTGCGCGCCAAGGCCCAGGAGCACCAGGCCAGGCTACTCTCCAACAACCTTCTCCTTCAGGTAAGATTTACCATCGATTTACGAGCCACTTCTAAATAGGTACATTACATTTATTACAATTTGTAAATGCAGTAATAGATTAACTTATAGCTAATCTTTAGATCATATAACTTGTACGTTCTAAGAAAAATTTAACAAAGTTTGTGTAGAGGACAATATTTTTTAAGTGTTTGAATAAAAAACAAGTTCTGTTGGATTAAGCTGTTATTGATAATTAAACTTATAGATATTTAAGCGCAAAGTTCCCTAAAAGGTTTTTATGCTATGTATGATTTTTAACTATTATTACTAATTTTTGATAGTTCAGCACTATATCAACAGTGAACATTGAATTTATCAACTTCAGTATTAAAAATATTGTTAGTTATATACTGCAAGGTTAAAAACTTACCTATATGGTAAAACCAGTGTCATAAATACATATAAAAGCACAATTAAGATCCTTGAAAAATTTACTAGATTATTAACTTGTCATGAAACCTTATAGGGACAAACCATTGACTAAGTGTATGGACTATGGATAAATTAAACCTGTTTATCTTGGAATTTCAGGTGCGTGGCTTGCAGCGGGCAAGCGGTGCGCCGAGTGTGACGGAGGACGACGGCCCGACAGACATAGACGTAGGCACCGAGCCGCCTCCACTCGACACAGCGCGTCTCTACTGACCTCTCTCACCCCTCTTCGCGAGCCGATTGATTCACGACCAACACGTGGCACGTGAAAATACAGATCAGGCCTAAAACTGTTGGAAACTTCCAGACGAGAAGTAAATCGGGAAACTGAACTATAAATTTGCGATTGCTCCTATTCGATACAGCCAACAGTCAAGAAGATGGGGATCAGAATTTGGTAGAAAACGTTCGGTCTGGGCGTGCGTGTGTTAGTGTTTCTAGTTTCGGCGCAGGACAGTTACTTAAGTACTTAAGTGTAATTATGTACATTGTAGAGTTAGAATTTGTTTCCCAGTTTTTCGTGCAATACCCTTAGTTAAGTATTTATCCGTTTAGCGTTGTATAAAGTTCGCTCGGCGTCGCGACGTCGCATCACCTTGTTGTACGTATCTCGTAAGCTATGCGAAGACTATCGTAGGTAAATCGGTACTAAATCTATTGTAAATGTTGGATGCCTATAAAATGACCGTGTCTTATCGTTTCATGTTCAAAACGAAACAAAATTTCATTTATAATTATTGTATTTAAAATATACCTATTGTAAGTCTTTGCCTATTAATTTAAGAAATAGTACCTACCTACTTACGCGTACAGGCATATTTGTTATTATTTTAGTTATTAATTGTATAATTCGAAGATTTATTGATGATTATTTTTTTATTAATATTTAATTTACAGTTTTAATGTTTCGATTAATAATCTCATGCTTAATTATCTTTGCATCTTGTTCTGCCATAAACTAAAAATGTGCGAGAGAGAAATACCTATTTACTTTAAAGTGATAACTTGAAGAGATGCAGGGATATATCACCAATAAACAAAAAAAACGCCCCTATTAGATATATATATATATATATATATATATATATATATATATATATATATATATATATATATATATATATTGAAAACGATGTCTCTATAAGTAATTTCTTAGATTAACGCGAATATCTGACATTTACCTACCTATTTTGATTTTTGGTTCCCGGAACCGAAAATTACCAAAAAGCCAAAAAAAACGAAAATATAGTTTTATTTATTATGTCTCTAATTTTTGCATTTGGCATAAAGAGTTTATCATAGATTACAAACGTAATTATATATTATTATGTTCAAGCGCTTTCTATCGCTGTGCATTACAACACAAACTTTATCCAATGCATTAGTTGCTGAAGTTTTGTTACACAGAAATATACATATGTCATCGAAATAATAGGGGCGTTATTTAAAAAAAAAAATTACATAATTTATGCAAATAAAGTTTTTAATTTCCACGCCTGTTAAACTAAATATTACGAAGCGTTGACTGTATGTGAAATATAGATTCCTAAGTAGACTCGTAACTTATTTACATAATCGAATAAATCAACGAAATTGAGCAACTATCGCCGCATTTCTTGCCTTAGTGTAATGTATATAATTTATTATAGTTGTTGACATTCCGATCAAACACGAATCATTGTTAGAAAATTTCGTGATATATAAAAAAAACTAAAAATATTATTATAATCTGTGTCAACTCTCATACGAACCTTTTAATGTGATCTTTTTAATTGTACTTAATAAAATATTTTACGTTGTACTTATAATTGCAATATTTAAACTAATGACAAGTGTCGTAGAATAAAATAATAAATGATTTTTTTTTGTATAGTCTGTGTTTAAAACACAATTTCGTCATATTGTGCTATCATAAGTTGCTAATAATCCTTATCTGCGAGGCTATCTCATTATCGACAATCAAATTTGATAGATATGTCACAGCTTGGTTATTTCTTTTAACCCTTACCATAAAAAGAATTAAAACTAATTTCAGATGATTTCTTTAGATATGACGAAATGTTGTCGAAGTCAAAAATCTTTTTTTTCTGAAAGAATAATGATATTATAAACCAGTCTGGCTGCTTGCTAGTAGTTGCCGTTCACAAAATAATTTTACAAATATAAATACGAGTAAATTGTTCAACTTAATCATCTACACGACATTGGCGAAGTAATCTGTGTCCAACTGGCACGACTAAAATAACAAAGAATTGAATTGAACTGAATCATACAACTTGTCATTGGTTGAGACATATTTAAAACCTTTTTATGTGATTTTCATCATAGCTTAAGCTCAAAAAACTTGTGTTATCTGTGAAAAAATATATTTTACAGCGCTTTTTAAACCATACCCATGTTCATTTTGTAAAATATTGCATTACTGTTGAATAGCCTCCGTAAGACCAATACATATTCGATTGTACTTAACTATAGACTTGTAATATATTTATTGAAACAAACAAAATGAAGTGACGTGACTTCATCGTGATTAAGATTATTTCGATGAATAAACAACTATGTAAAATTTGTTTTGTGTTTTTTTTTCAAACCTGAAAATTTAAAAAAACTACGTCTCTTCCAATGTTAGAGACGTTTTGAGAGACTTTTGACACTTGGTTCTTCCGTAACAAAGCCTAAGTGGTGTTAGAATTAATGGGGCGACTTATGGCCGATTTCACCAACGTCACCTAAGTTTAAGGGATCCCCTAAGCATGGTTAGGGGGCTGTTAGGGGACAGTTTCTGTTTCACCGACAGTTAGGAGTCACCTAAATGTTAAAATGCCACCTAAATATAGGTACTAGAAATACAGGCTCTGACGATGGTAAAACGAAATTTCATTTAGGGGCTAGTTTAGGGGAAATTTTACGCTAGGGATCCCATACGTAGCTGGTGGCATTAGACTTTTATACTGTTAAATAGCGACTCACCCTCGCTCCGCTCGAGTTCGTCCCAGCTAGTACGTTTTAAGGTTTAATATAGATTTCTCAGAGATGAAATATTTTTTCGCAGTAAAAAGTATCCTATAGTTATGTTGACCCGTATAACCAGCTATCATCATACCAAACTTCATCAAAATCTGTCCAGTGGTTTTCTCGTGATACATTCCCAGACAGACAAACAGACAGAGAAAAAATTCTAAAAACTATATAGATTCGGCCGCTGTAGCGACTGCTTCAATAAGATTATCCAAAAAATATTGTTGTTGAATCGTCCGAAAGAACTATTAGCTAACACAAAATTCACTGTGGTCGAAATTCAGTCAGAACTTTATATATTTTTAGTTATTATGCTAGTAAGCCTGCAGGATCAAACCAGAATGAACACGAATAAAACTATCTTTTCGGATTTTTTCGCGGATTTATTTCGATTTTTTGTATCCCTGCGATTCGAAAAGGTCATCTTATTAACCATTTCAATTCTTGAAATATTTGAAATTTCTGCGTAAACGAAGATAAAGAAATTCACATCTTTGTCATTTTCCAGTTTATTATTACGTATATTCCAGACTATAACAATCTCTGTGCTAACAATCAAGATCTGTTCAGCTATTCCGGCGTGATTGAATAACAAACATCCAAACTTTCACATTTATAATAAGATTAATTTTAGAAATCAGAGGGCAGGTAAGAAATAAAAAACCAATTTCAATTGAGAACATGTATAATATACCATAAATGCTGCACGAATGACAAATGCATTGTATATAAGTATTATAAATAGGCATACGAACTCTTACGCACTACGCTACAATGCCGACAGGCCATAACATTCAAGACACTTAGTTAAAAATTCATAATATAATGTCACCACAAAAATAGCCTAACCCATTCTTTTCAATGCATTAATTAAGAAATAGAAGTATTTATAAAAAAAAAAAATCTAAGGTACATTCCAACTGCTATGCGATAGTTTAACATATATTTTGTTTATTTAAATCTTAATATATAGATATATTATGCCCAATTTCCAATAAAACAGACTATATTTTATATGAAAGTATCTATTCGGATTTTTTTATTTTATATTTTGGTTACCGATGCGTCTATGCTTTCTGCAAAGCATTCGAAATGTCGGGAACCACACAATATCCGAAAAGATATATAGCTTTCATTTAAAATATCAAATATTCGTGTAAATCTAAGGAGTTATTATAGAATAGCTTATAATTAGGCGAGTTTTGTGCTGACATCATACATAATACCATTTTATAAAATACCATATCAAACAACTTGAAGCGATCATGCTCACTATGAGCAGAATATTATGCAGAGTATATACTTATCAATTATAACAACTCCAAATATCCATAAAACTCAAAATAAAAACAAGTAATTTTAAAGATTAATTAAAAATATTTAAAACCAAAACAAACGACATATTTTTTACTACATTAGTTGAAATTTTAATATTTGTACTAATTAATTTTGCAAAAACTTTGTTAGCACTCGATAATCTAAAAATTGCAAGTATCATTACATTGGCAGTAGATATTGGCACTCCACCGTATATTTGTAGCAAATACGAATAAATACCTTTAGTTATAGGTTAAATAAACTAGTATATTTTATGTTTTTTTTAACACAATAGTATTTTTTTCACTATTGATATTTTTTTAATGAAAAAATTAACAAATTTTCTGGAGACTTAATAGCTTTTTCAATAAAACTATAAAAAACCTCAGACTAAGAAATAATATTATAGAATGTCATAGAACTAAACATGAAGTCAAACAATAATATTTTAAAATTGTATACAAATGACAATTTGTATACTGAGGGATAAGTAAATAAAAGTTGAAATAAATTTTATTATAATAAAGAAAAAAAAATAAAGCCAATTAAAGACAACTAATACTTAAAAATACAAAAAAGTAGCATTATTTTTATTACCCATATTTTATTTTCGAAAATTGTATATTAAATAATACATATATAAATTTTCTCATATTCTTTAATGAAAATAAACGATCTGTATGGCGAAATCGAGAATAGTAGCAAAAACAACAAAATTACGCTACTATTTATGACTTCAACATTTATTTTGGAACTATATAATTCTTTAGTCTGAGACATAGACGTGCCCAACGGTATAAATTGTTAACATTAAAAATACTACAATTAATTATTAACAATGCTTCATTTAAAGAGCAGATAAGATTAAATATTTAGATAAAACTACTAGTGTGCTACAAGCCTTATATGTTATTTTGCACTTAATTTTACTTATATTTTATATAATAGGGTACATCCATGTGGTTTGTTGAGCCATTGTTACACTAGCATCGCATAGTATAAAGTATACATTTTCCAAATATTTTTGGAAGAGTGCGTGTATCGATGTGTATTGTGTTTGTGTAGCAAGAAGTCAAACTTCTGTAGGTTATCGGTACTTTTTATAAAATTAAATTTGTTTTAAATTAGGGTAGAAGGGATACTAATAAAAAATATTTTTAAATCGATTTAAAAATGAAAACAATATTTTATTATTTACATATTAGGTACAGGTGGTGTCAATCAAATGTTGTTATGATTCAATAAATTATATACTCCAATAAAATAAATCGAAAATAAAATTAGGGATGCAAATTCTTTAGTGAAAAAATAATATTTATAATGTATAAAAAATTATTTCAAGTAAATATTTTTTAACAATATTCATTTGATATAATTCCATTGCTCAACTCTGTCACTTCCGTAACGTAACGGCCCGACGTAACCATTTCCGTTACAAAAATCGTAACGGCAATCCTTTTTTCCCTTCATGGCGCGCCTAAAAAAGTTTCACTTCACAAAGAATATTAGCTGAATAAAGATTGAAAAAAAAACAATATAAACAACATGCACGTTCCCTGTTAACTATAATTCGAGTAAATATAAGTACTGCCGAGGTACATAGATGTATAATACATATTGGTAAATAAAATATTATTGGATAAAATTGAAATTACTATATTTTTACAAAAAAAGTAATTTGTAAATAAAAATATGTTTTTATTATATTTCATTCAAAGCAGTATCATAAGAAAACGTTGTTAAAGTATCTATAAAACTATAAAACTTTAAATAACACAATTAATTAAAATATTGTATATATACGATATTTAAAGTAGCATCCGATGCATTTGACATGAAGCGTACAACCAAAAAAATGGAATTTCTGAAATTTGTTCATATTAGGCATATTTGTACTTTTAGGTATAATAACATGTACATCGTACATATTATAATATTTTTGTTATTTCAAATTTAATAGTCAAATTATGAGATTCTAAATAATTGACCTGATGGTTTCTTTGAAAAAAAAAACAATAATTCATAATAAAATATGTAGTATTATGTATGGAAAATGTTCTATTTGATTTTTAAATCAGATTCCAAATTAGTTTTTTTTTTCTAATATTAAGTGGAAGTAAATATTTCAAATAAAAATATTAATAACTTCGACCATTTTAATTCACATATTTCATGCGCCCCTTTGTACCATAAAAATATTTATAAAACCATAATGTTATATGATTTGTAAAATGTACTTAATTAATCATTTGTTCAATAAATTAAATCTGAAAATATTTATAAATTGTGCCGCCACAATATTTAAACAACAAAATTTCTATCAAAATATGTTTAAGTTCAATAAAAATTAATTTTAGTTAATTTCCCAACTATCTATGTATTGTTAGATTTAAAAAATACTATATAAGAATACTTCAAATGACGAAGAAACAAAAAATATAACTTTATAAATAACAAATCTCTTTAGGATTTTTTTTCACTTTAAGGTGACTTAGAAAAAAAATGTTTGGTGGGATTGAGTGTAAAATGTATAAAAATGTATGCAAGGTTTGTCTTTTATTCCTAAGAATGTTTCATAACTTAATGACAGAGTATAAGCATCGAGTAGCAAAATTGTTTTAAATACAATATATTGTAGGCACTTACATAAGCATTAGAATGTATATTTTAGACATTTAGTCATTTTTTGTTACAAAATAAAGCTGCAATCCGCCGCCATTTTATTTTTTTTATTTAAGTAACAAAAATTATCATCAATATAGTGCTTCTAATGGCGTTTCCCAGATATTTAGGATAAAGATCTCCGTACGAGAATTGTATTATAATAATCAGAAACGAACTAAGTAATTTCGTTAAGTTAAATTCAAATAATAATTCTAGAGCTGAATTAATTATAATTATTATTTAAGTACACAATTAAAATAAACATATTGAAGTTAACTACTAAATATCTCCGAAATGTAACAGTTTAGGGTGCCATATTGCTGACATTTTTCGTTTGTTTAATTACCATCACACAAAACAGTTTTATTATACGCCGAAAGTTTTGAGAAAAATAAAAATGGCTACTACATTGCAAATCTTTATTGTTATTGTCATTTGTCAATGTAGACGAATCGCTAATATAAAACTAACACTATTTTTTTTAAGGAAATAACACTAAGAATAAGTCATTACAATATATGGTTTTCTATCGTCAATATCGATAGTAAAAAACTTCTATAGAGCTGCACTATTATTTAGTAAAAAGACAGTATATATTTCAATTTATTCTATTTATGCGATAATTTCTAGTAAGTAAATAATATTGTATCTTTTATTTTTAATCTATTGTCATCTTCTACCATTAAGAAAGGCATATTTAGGCACTAATTTTCTTATTTAGAAATTCACTTAAATTACAAGATTGTTTATTTATTAGTCTTCAGTTTTTGAACGGATTTATTTCATATAATTTAAGTGTTATAATATTAATATTGACTATTGTTTAAAATAGTAGACGTTATCGATAATGTAATATCAATTCATACGATGGGCTTTGTAAGAAACCTCAAGGTCATCCCAGGAGCAATCAAAACTATGGAATGTCTCGCACACCAAAGCAGACAAGACTCGACTGAGGAATCATGGAGTTGTTGAAGAGTTCTTCAGTGAAGGCAGGTCTACCTGGTGAGTAGACCACTTTTGGAAAAACCTTCACTAAATAAACCTGGTCAAAGCCATCGCAATCCACTGATGTGGATGGTACAAGAAGAAGATGGTTGATAAGAACATCTGTAGAGGAAGCCACGTTTTTCCTCTTACAAGGGGACCTTACGGTCTCTATTTATAAAAAATTTTATAGGAATCTTCTAGCTGGTGAGCTTTATCGCTTTACTGTGTGGATACCCTTAAGGTATACTTACTAATCTGCTGAGTATTATCCTGATCTCTCCGAGAATCTAAATGTCCTTTGTGAGCTGATAACTCAATACCAAATCGATTGTATTTTTAAACATCGATAAATTTCCCAGACAAGCATTCTAAATAAAATTGTACCATTGCTTAGAATAAAAACATTTATAACTACATTTGGCAATTATTTAGCATACAAAGTCTTCACATGACTTGAAAAGCTTTCACGTTTAGTTTAGTTAACCTACAATACAAAGAAAGTAGTGCACTGAGCTTGTAATGGTCACAAAATAATATTAAAATGTATTATCATTTTGAGAATTATAAACTCTTTTACTTACTATACTTTTCATAGTTATTTTTATCCAAAATAATTTTCATTCATTTTTCTAAAAACGTGTTATTGAATTTATAAGTATTTTTTTTAATTTATGTAAGCTATTTTTCCCAATATACGTCGTATTAAAATTAAATAATTTCTACAATTTTCTACAAAATTAGAGATCAATTCCAACAATAGTATGGATATCATTTTGCAATAAAGGATTTATTTTATTTTTAATTTTCGTCAATAGATTTAAAAACTTCCAACGATATTTTATTTATATATTATTACTTTTTAAATAAAAACAAATTCATTAATCAACAAACTGACGTATAAAAAATAATCGCATCATTATTAAATGTTGTATTATTGTAATGTTAATGAAAATGTATATTGCATTGATATACAAAAACTCAAGATAGACAATTAGCGTCTCAACAGTGTCCCCAAAATGGCGTCACATTTCGAAATTGTGCCCTTTTTCAAGTACTTTCTGTTCATTGTTTTTCGGATGACTAAACTAAATCACGTTGTTTCGTTTAAAAAAGTACTTTATGTGGTGCGCATAAGTCCGAATTTGTGTTTAGACAATTAGAACTTTCGATTTTCCATTTTTATTCTATTATTTGACTTAACGTGACATGTCGACGCCACTTTTTGAGAGAGATTTGTTAGGAAATGTATATCTATGTTTTTATATATCAATGATATATTGTATAAAAATTCCATCCTCCATTTTAAAATTGAAATATTTAATAGTTACACATATAAGCACTATACGATACGGTACGTTTTCTTAATTTTAAGCATTTGAAGCACATTGACATAAGGCTTAATGTATGAATGAGGTAACATACTTTCTTAGACGTCAATCTAATAGTCTGTTTTGTATGGAGTCTCCATTTCCTCGGAGCTCCTCAGCATCAGGTAGAAGCTGTTCACGCAGAGGATGCAATAAGCGAGGATACCTATAAATAAAATTATAATAAAATTAAACAAATTTAATAGTATAAAAATAAACAATATGAGAAAACGCCCATATTTATTAATAACTAGCAGAACCCGCGATTTCGCTCGCGCTTAAACTATAAAAAAAAACTCTAAAATGGTAGGTTTCATACAAACATTCATCCGCTATTTTACCCCCTTATGGGATGAATTTCGAAAAATGCTAAAACATGTAATTAATTAATTGTATTGAAGAGCATTTATACCAAGTTTCAAGTAACTCTGATCATAATTTTTTTTTTGGATTGTATTATAACGTGTTTTCGTGGGAAGAAAGTAATCTCCTGCAAAAAAAAGTAGCCTATGTCACTCTCCAGCCCTCCAACTATCTCCACACAAAAAATTACGCCAATCCGCCAAGCCGTTTCGAACTGGTAGAAAGACAAACAAACGCACATTCACATTTATAATATTAGTATGGATATAACATTGGGAAATGCATTTACGCATACTATCTGCATACATACAGGTGGTGGTTATGTGGGACTCACTGACAAAGCCAGTACTACCAACTAAAACCCAACAGTAAACCCTGGACGGTTTAGACAAATGTAGGCACACACATATATAAACACACATCCTTTATATACTTTTATATTTTTGATTAAGACCGTTTTATAAATTACGTTTTATAATAAAAAGTACAAATTAGTGACATTAAAAGGCGTACAATTAGATGCACGATTTTTATTTCTATTTTAATAAAATAGATTGAAATAATCTAATATTGCCCAAACCGTATATACAAATATCAAAACCTAATTCATGAGTAATTTTAAAAATAACTTACCAAAAAACACAATGCCTTCCAAAAACGCCAAGAAAATGTGGGATCCAGTGTCTGTGAAGCCGAAGGTCATAGAGAATATCACATAGCCGAGGGACGCCAGGTACAGCACTATCATCACCCACACCCACACACGTACGGCTGTCGTGCTCCTCTGGAAAAATAAGCGAACTTCTTTAAAACTATTGACGTAATATTCATTTCAGTAATGAAAAACCCGACCAATTGTGAGTCGGACTTGCGCACGAAGTTCGCGGTTCCGTACCATTATCTATAAAAACAGCAAAAAAAAATCTCTCTTAAATATATATTTTACCTACTCTTAAATATTATTTTTCAACAGAAATACATAATCTGTGTAAATTTCAACTGTCTAACTATCACGGTTCATGAGATACAGCCTGGTGACAGATGGACAGACAGACGGACAGCGGATTAATAGGGTCCCGTTGTACCATTTGGGTACGGAACCCTAAAATATGTTTAAAAATCATCTACGGTACCAGTAAGGATCAAACTAGTAGACGAACAGAAACGTTTTAATTTCACAACTATTCTCACTAATATTATAAACGCGAAAGTTTGTATGAGTGTACGCGCACTCTCTGTTACTCCACCATGAAAATAAAATCACACAAAGCAATATACATACATATTATATTACATTTACAAATAAATTAAATAAATAATTATATTATAATTATTTTTAATAAATAATTAGAGATAGTCGCAAAAGACAACAAGGGATGCACCCAAGAAAAGAAAATTTTTTATCCTCGTCTGTTTGTTCCGGCTAACCTCCGAAACGGCTGGACTGATTTTGACGGGACTTTCACTGGCAGATAGCTGATTTTATAAGGACTAACTTAGGCTACGTTTATTTTATAAAAAGAATTAAGTTTCCGCTCAAAAAAAAACTATTATATAAACCGACCTTATGAGCACCATATATCAACATGGCTGCCAGCAAAACATGGACGACAGAAAACACCGCTATCGATACACATATCTTGTACCACGTCGTGTACAGGTGGTCCTCTGCGTCTTCTATCGTGCCCACGTTGCCTCGGAGAGAATCGGCAAATACTGAGGCAACCGTCATTAGCGACAGCGACGCTAGCTGGAATGTAACATTCAGTATTTTATAGCTGAATCTATTAAGATAGTAAGGGGATTCCCCACGCAAGTAGAAGAACTAAAATAATAATATGTATCCTAACTAACTACACTTAAGTGACTAAAACAAACTAACTAAAGTCCCAAGATATAGCTACATATTATTATTATTTTGACAAGCAATTCTTGTTCTTGTATTTATATAAATTTACTACTCTAGGAAACCTTACTATTATAAAACAAATCTATCCCTCGGGAACTACGGTTCCCGAGTAAATATACGTATTTTTCCGGTATAAAAGGTAGCCATGTGTTATTCCAGACTTCTATCTCTGTGCAAAATTTCATCCAGATCCATTCAGCTGTTCTGGCGTGAAAGAGTAACAAACACCCATACTCACAAACTTTCATATTTATAATATTCATACGGATTTTGTGTATCTCGGAAACGGCTATATCGAATTAGATAAAATTTTGTATTTAAATAAGGTTATAAGTTTGTCTATAAATGTGTATTTTGCCATATCTATTCCGGAAAAAACGATCGAATGAGCGAAGTTAATTCCTCAACAAACAATTTAATCTTCACTAGTACCTTATTACTTAGGATTGTAATATTCGAAAATTTGTAGAGAATATTCTAGAATACAGTAAAGATTCACTTGAGAAAATTTACAGAAATTCAATACGTGGATAATTTAATATTAATGAAATAACTCTTGTAAAAGCGGGGAATCAACGGAAAACTATTGTCTAAGTAGAATAAGCATTATTATAATAATTTCTTACCAAATGTATGTATCCAATAAGTTTGGTCCCAGACTCTAATCCGAAGCACCAACAAAAAGACGTTATATGAGGCAAGCCCATTTTACCTTCAATCTTTTCCTCCCTGAAAAATACAAATAGAAAATTAAAAATTTAATAAATAATATTAACAATACATGTTAGAAAGAGAGTCAAAACACTAAAAAACTTAGATTCAGTACTTTTGCAAAACAACTTCTTACTTTTTTTAAGATATTAATTAAAAATAAAATAATTTATTATAAATACATTTATTAAAAGCTCATATAGAAAAATAACACCTTACAATAAGCAGTTAAATCATAGCGCAGGTCTAATAATGTAGTATGTGTGAACTTCCTCGGTGATCTAGTGGCTAGCATGTACGACCGCAGATCCGGAGGTTCTGGGTTCGAGTCCCGGGTCGGGCTGATTCATGTATTATTTGTCAAGAAATTCTCAGTAATAGCCCGGAGTTAAGAAATTGGCGTTGTGTCACTCCCGTGCCTCGGAAGGTACGTAAAGCCGTCGATCCTGCGCTTTAAGTCTCACTGATCGTATCGTAGTATCGTCCTATCGGACTTTAAGAGTAAAAGGCACTCTCTATTGTGCATGTTGTGTCTGCGCGTACACTTGTGCACTATAATATCTCCTGCGCTGGTCTCAGTGAGACTAACCGCCGTGGTCGAAATCGGTCAGGAGGACATTATAATATGAAGTAAACACGCGCGCTAAGCCGTAACGAAAGTCACTTGATAGATATAGTATGTATACCAATATAACCTTTAATTAAAAAGCTTATTATACCAATAAATTATTGAAATATGTTTTATGTATATTTGAATAAGTTTGGGAACTGATTGAATTTTTATTGTTCATAATAATTCAGCCCTTTCTTTAGTCCAACTGCTGGACCTTTCCCAATGCGAGAGCTACAGTCCACCACGCTGATCAAGTGCAGGTTGGAGGACTTCACATGTCTTTCAAGAACTATTAGTTAGATACTCTCAGACATTCAGTTTTCTACAAAGTTATTTCTGCTTTAATAATTATTTTAAAACTATGTTTTACATATAAGTAAGAAATAACAATTTTTAAAACTTTCGTAGGTAACAATGAAAGACAAAACCAATATAAATGAATAATCAACTCACTCTACATGAAACACACTGATGTCCGGCTGCATCGTCCACAATACTGATAGTAACCACGATTGAATATACGAATTAAACAATAAAAGTTTTTTTTTATATTGTCCGCTTACTATAAATAGAGGCGTAATGTAAGCTATTGCCTTATTTATTTTATTTTTATTAAAATGGCGGATAGCAATGGCGTTCTTATGGCGGATAGTACTAGATTAACCCGTTTACTATTGTATTACATATTCCATACTAATATTTGAAAAAAAGCTTAGTCAATCTGCCTTTTCACGCTTAACCCTTAATTTGGCAAGACATAAAAAGTTGCAGTAGGAAGATATCATTAATATATTATGTTCATAAGCATTCAAAACACACGGGAAAAATAAATTAAAAAATCTTGGCTGAAGGGTTTCTTGAAAAAACGATGTTAAGTATACTCAACAAAATTCGACGGTTAACGAATATGATCTTAATGTAACTGTTGAGTATACTTAACAAATCCAGCTTATTACACTTTTAAATGAAACAAAATAAAAATGATTAAAACAATTATTTATTGAAACAAAACACAGTAAGTATGGTTAATTATGGTGATAATTAAAGTGACAGTTCCTATCTTTCACGAAACATAGCCTAACGTTACATTTAATACAATAAACTGTAGTGAAACCTTTTTTGCAGTAAGCACATCGACCATATTCCTTACCATGCTCAGGGAAATGGTCGACATTATCATATTTGATATCATCTACAGGCCTGGGACGTTTTGGGTTTTTTATTTTTTCTTCAGGGATCAAATCTTTTATTGTAGTTGTATCTACATTTTTTCCTTTCTGAAGCAAAGCTCTATAAATTTCAAGACGAAATTCTTTTAAAGTTTTAACCTTTTTGATTCTTTTCCTTGTACTATCTCGCCTATACATCAACCAAGCATTGTCGACGCAGATGTCTAGTAACTGCGAAAATATGGAGAGATACCAGCGCCTACTTTTCATTTCTGTGCGGTATAGCGCTATGAGCATATCCGCCAAATCAACGCCGCCCATATGGGCATTGTAATGCTTTACAATGTTCGGATAGTCAACATCAATTTTCCGCTTATTAATTTTACAATACCGCTTGACTTTGGTTGTAGGATATGCATCAGCATAACTAGAGGCTAGAATAACACACTTGTTATCATTCCATTTCAAAAGCGATAGTTTTGTCTTATTGCACACAGTTTGGCTGAAAGATCCTCTTCCTAGAGATTTCAGATCCTTATCACTTTTTAGCTTGCTCGTAGCACTTCGCAGTCGATTTGTACGCATTGTACCTAGACTAAATATGCCATAAGTATTCCTGAGATGGTAAATCAGCTCCAATGAAGAAAAAAAGTTATCAAAGTAGACGATACATGGCTTCTTCTTTATAGTTTTACAAAGTCTCAAAACTGCTTTAGCTCCCCAACCTAAGCCTTCCTCTTCTTCTGTAAAACTGCATTCAACAAACATGTCGTTACCAGCATATAAAAAAAAGTCGTAAATGATCCCAGAAGCTCCAGCCCTAACAAAGTTTTTGAAACCCCATTTCCGTGGCTTACGAGGATTGTATTGCCGTTTCTTTCCCGCTTTGGTTCCTTTATAAGGAATTACCATCTCATCAATACTAAACCTTGTTTCTTCTTCAATTTTGAGGCAGTTTTGTCGAATCTTTTCAATAACTGGTCTTATTTTGAAGTATGGATCAGAGTTTGTTTTATTATTATCAACGAAGTGGAGATATCTCCGGATAAGCTGATAGCGTTTCAATGGCATAACATCTGCGACTAATGAAAAGCGTGTATTTATACTCCAATAATCTAAATAAGATGGCATAGAAACAATACCCATTATTACTTTTATAGCTAAGAAGCTTCGTAACTCGTCAACAGTCAAATTTATTGATCGGCCTGTCGTCTGCAGAGAATACATATTTGTAGAAAGGCAAATTTCGTCAAAAAGATCTTCAGAAAAGAAATCGGTGAAATAATTGAATGCATTCTTTCTATCGGGAAGGGGACTTTCAAACGTATCAGGATCTAATTCGGCACGATGTTGAAAACGGTCATAAGACCATTTGAACTTGAGTTCTATTTTCTTCTTAGGTACACGCCGGGGTTGCCTGGATCCAGTCAAGTTGGCTGTATTATGTCTCCGACGTTGTGCTCTTGTACTACGTGTTGACTGTGGCGTAGATGCCAAGTTTTGTGGTGATTGTTGTGGAGAATCACTTACCTGATTAAGAATGAATGATGTGGTCACCGACGGCAAATTTGACATAGGAGACAATGTTGGCAACGAACTAATGGATGGTAATATATCATAGCATGGGTGCTGCTGTTCTTTATCATTATTTTCTTCAGGATTAAAGTCAGCAAGTATTGAACCAGATACATTGAGATTTTGTGCATCATCGGAGGAATCCAGAATATTGAGCCCGGCTAGTGACGATGAAATCGAGGGAGCTTCAGACGATTCTGATTCGTGGCGTTCATAGTGACTAAACACCTCTGCTTCATTTTCAAAGCTTGATTCCCCGCTCACTTCGGAGGTGGCGTTTTCTTCGGGTACTAGGGCAAGAATATGTCTAGATCTTGAATTCTGAAAATAATATAGATATTTGCAGGCACCCAGGCAACGAACAAAATAAAAATAACGCGACATATACCTATAATATCAATAACGTGCAAGAACAGGTTAGTAGGTAATAGCGTGATAAGCGTGAAAATTAAGCATTTCTGTATTAATTTATGTACATTTAAATTAAGTTAAGATCGAAATTTACAGACTTCCATTTTTTTCAAAACCATGACGTATCCATATCGTTATGACATAATCCGATTTTAAATTGTTATACTTGTCATACTTTTGAGCCAAAGCGAAAATTGAATTTCATTTCCAAAAACCATCCCTTCAAAAAAGCGAATCAAGACGATATTTAATCATTTTTTCAATAAATCTCACCATGCAGATTTGTTGAGTATACTCTACATACACTGTTCACACTAGATTACTCACCATCGGATTTGGTTGAGTATACTCAACAATCATGTTTACTGACTCGTCGTATTGTCCTTTAGGTGACAAACGGATTGTAAATAATTTTATTGTATTGATTATACATTATATTAATAGAAATAAGTGATTTAAGTTTCAAAATTATGCCAAAAACCAACAAAAATAAATATTTACCTGTAAAGCTCGCAGAACACGTTGTCGCGTCGCCATTTTTGCTCGCTAATGACAAGTAAAATGTTGCCAACTGAGCAAAATATTTTTCCCTACTAAAGTAAATTAATATTGAAGTGTTCTTAGCTTACAAAACTCGGAACCACAGAAGAAAATTTGATGTCTATATTTTTTTATTTGTAACGTTGAGTATACTCAACGAAATCAAATTAAGGGTTAAACTACTGAGCAGATTTTGGTTAAAGGCAAGAATATAGATTGTCTCCTAGAGATGTACATAGGCTGCCTTTAATCTCCGTCCCGCTTATATCCAAAAGCTCCTAGCTTGAGCTTATTGTTATTTACACGATACCAAAGCTCAAATCATTAAAAAATCTAATAAGAACAAATATATTTCGTAGTATTACTTGTTGTCCCGTCATTGAAAATACGAAGAAAAAAAACATATCAATATTTTGGAATTTCCAATCCGTTATGAATGTGGTGTCAGTCTTATCTCAGTAACAGGGCAGCAAAATCATTATCGGCAGTTATGAGTCAGGAGTCTCGCCCCTATCTATATTGCCACCTCGGGGGTGCCCCAAGGATCTAATTTAGGTCCACTCTTCTTCATAATATTTATTAACGATCTTATAGCCGAAATAAAAAGCTCGCGCGTATACTTGTTTTGCAGACGATGTCTTGCAACTGCAAGAAGACTTAAACAGTTTGGTTCTTTGGTGCTGAATCAATAAAATGCATTTAAATCCATCGAAGTGCTGCTTTATAAAATTTACCAGGAAAAGGAAACCAAAATGAGCTTGTATTCAGTTTCCAATAAAGCTTTAGAAGAAACCAATACGGTTCGTGATTTAGGTGTTTTATTTGACAGCAATTTGCGTTTGGATACTCATATTGATGCCATTGTCACTTCTGCGTTAAAGTCGCTAGGTTTCATCAGGCAATCTAAAGACTTTAAAAAAAATATCAACCGTAATTAAACTTTATAACTGTTATGTAGTATGTATAAGAAGTAAGCTTGAATATTGTTGTCAAGTATGGTCCCCATTATCATATAAAGTGATATAACTCGATCACATTCTGTGTTCTCCAGTAGATATTCGTGGGTACATTTTAAGCACTGTCCAAAGAGCTTCTATTTTTTTTGTATTTTTATATGTACTTCTGTTGGAGATCCTTAATTTATATCTATACATATAATAAAATTATAACCAAGACGAATCTGTACATTAAATATTTTTTGGAAAATCTTATTGAAATAGACATTATTATCGATACAGAGGCCGAATCTATAGTTTTTTAAATCTATAGTTTTTTGTCTGTCTGTCTGTTACCGCATCACAAAAAACCACTGAAGGAATTTTGATGAAATTTGGTATGGTTATCCGGGTCAACATATAGGATACTCTTTTTCTGAGAAAAAATACAAAAACTGCAATGTAAGAGTATACTAATATGCGAAACATAAGAATTTGTTTTTTGATCATCTGAACACGGGCGGAGTCGCGGGCAATGCTGGTAAATAAATAAATATGTAAATATTCAATGTTTCTTTGAATCTTTTTCTCTTTCGTTTGTTGAGGGCAAATTTTGAAAAAACATTCAATTAGGTTGATAAAATCATTTAGATAAAACAAGTAGATAGTTATGTTTAATATACATTAACTAAGCATCCGTAATCCCATGACTTGCGCTACACTGTACACACTACACAGGGATCGTTTATCTCGACGACAGTGGCCTCTTCAAGGACTCGCGTACATTAATTAAGCGCCACTGACTTTCTAGGCGTCTATTCTGTTTTTGTTAACGTACAGACAGAAACTATAGTAGCTATAGTAAAGTTAAATAATATAAATATTATGTTTGGACATTAACACACAGTACCATCTAGTTCCATGGAAAGCTACGAGGCTTTTGTTATGGATAGGTACCAGTAGTTGACGCATTACACATATTATATAACTTTAAATACATATATATTATAATGCCCCCAGCTGGACTCGAACCCGCAACCGCTGGCACAAACAGATAGGGTCACTATAAGTTAAGCTAAAACGTGTCGTTCAAATATTATTTTATATTATCGTATTGATTTACATCTACGTATCAGTTTTTATGTTTTATGAAAACTAACATTATTTTTATGATGTATTAACTAGGATTAACGTTTAGCTAAGAGATGGGATATTTGCCCTGCAGTAAAATGTATCCTATACATATGTTGAACCGGATAACCAACTATCATCAAACGATGGGTGTCAACCAAAGCATGGGTGTCAATAACCTAAGTAATTTTCCCTATAAATCACGGAAAATTAAATAATATCACAGTACCCTATTAATTTTCTTTTTGAATATTAGACTATATACTCTGCGCGTTTTAGATCATATTTATTACCTTTTATAATTATTTGGGCGAGAGTGAGTCGCTAGTACATAATAAAGTATTTGACTTTATTTGGTTTTTATCTTAAATACCTTAAATCCTTAGTTAATATATACACGAGTTAAAACCCCAAATTCTTCAGGGGAAAATATACCTATCTTAATGATACCCATTCTTTCATCAAAATCTGTCCAGTGGTTTTTTCGTGATGCAGTCAGACAGACAGACAAAAATTCTAAAACCTATAGATTCGGTATATGTATCGATAATAATGTCTATTTCAATAAGATTTTCCAAAAAATATTTAATGTACAGATTCGGCTTAGTTACAATTTTATTATATGTATAGACTAGCTACCAACATTTTGGCATTAGTAAAATCAGCATACATATTTATACAAAACGTATAGCAATGTATAAACACATGTAACAGGGTCAAAGCTACACAATGTACCTACATTGTAAACATATCTAAGTATCTGTCTACATATCCACAACCTTGAACCGATTTATTGAATGGAATTGAAGCAGTACTTTGTAGTAAAAGTAAAATAAAATTGCATGTCTGTATAATACAACATACATATTATATACTTGCTAGTAGTAGTAGGTATATTATAGTATACAACAGATTTTAAAAATTAATCTATACTTACAGAGAGATTGAAGTGTCTGTATGTAATGTCAATTTTTTACTAAATGTATATGAAATCATATATGGTACTTATAAGAAAAACACACTTAAAATTTTTGCCTGTCTGTCGGTCTGTTTGTTTGTTCCGGATAATCTCCGAAACGGTTGGACTGATTTTGACGGGACTTTCGCTGGCCGATAGCTGATGTTATATGGAGTAACTTAGGCTACTTTATTTTAGAATTAGGGTTCCGCTCAAAATTAAAACGTATCTAGGAACGCACCCGAGCGAAACGAGAATAAGTCGCTAGTATGAAAGTAAACAATTACCAGTATATTTTAAATATACAGAAGAATATTTTAAATATTTATCATATCTGATAAAAGAAAGCTAGTTTTCTATCTGACTGTACATAGAATCACAAAGACTATTCCTAACAATAAAAACTAGATCAGCATAATGCACGCAACATAAAAATTCAAAATGAAGAGCCGGTTTTATTACTGTAAAATGGCTGGCCTAGACAAGTACTTGTTCAATTAAGACTTTATTTTAGGATTCTCTCTGTACATCAAATAAAATAACTAAAACTATAAAGCATCGTTTGAATGTATGTTGCATAATCTTTTTAACCGTCTTCCAAAAAGAAGGAGCTCAATTCGTCGGAATCTGTTTTTTTTATGTATGTTCGTCGATTACTCGAAGACGGCTAAACCGTTTGGAATTATTTTGTTTTTTTTTTCGAAGGATATACTTCCCAGGTGGTCCCATTTAAATTTTAGCGAAATCAGTCGAGCGGTTTTTAAAAAAATCAACAATAAATATTTTTTTAAATAAATTGCTTAATCGAATATGTTATTAAAAAACTTTCTTCGAATCTGCAAATTACTGCTTATTACGACTACACTAAAAATAGAAAAATAAAAACTTTAAAAATGAAATAAAAACCGATTTCTAAACACTAAAATGTAAATAACTAAACGGGGGTTTTCATTTAGAATAGATACCGAATCAGATATTTTCGAAGTCGGTACCAGCCGACATTATTTTAAGCTATGAATATCTAATAGGTAAATATGATTAGGACGAACTCTAAGTATACTTAGTTAAAATATTATACATCACCACTTGTACTGGCACCTACAGGGTGGTGCTGGCACCAACTTCGAAAATATCTGTAATCTGATTAGGTATCTATTCTAAATGAAAACCCCCGTTTAGTTATTTTTTACATTTTAGTGCCTGGAAATCTTTTTTTTAAGTTTTTTAATTATTGTTTGAGAAATACCACATAAACCCTGACTATATATATTGTTATACAGATAAATCTTACAATAATTTATCTTATCTATTTTTCTATTTTAGTTAAATAAAATTATAGTGGTGTTACATAGTATTTATTTTATGGTATGTCTCAATACCAAAATAATTCTCGCTAGCGACATATCATCACTTCTCTTGTGTTCATCCATAGTTAAGTTTTAAATAGATAAAAATTGCTATTGCAAGTGTTCCGTAGGAGATAAGCATATACTATGGAAGACTTTTCCATAGGCCTTTTTAAGACCTTTAATTTTCTAGTATATTGTTTTATGTATCTCATAAGGTTACGCTAGTGTTAGTCACGTTGTAATGATGACTTGACAGAACCGGTTATTGTGTTTTCCGATAAGAATGATAGATTTTCTTGTAGTTAAAAGTATCCATCATTGCCAAGCAATGCACACAGATATACAAACAGACAAAAATTACAATTTCAAGTTTTGGGATATATATATTCTTTACACAGTAAGTTTGTCATTGTTTTTAAAAAATATTACATGTACAAATTTCACTAAGTTACTATTTTGTTATATATATAGATAAACGTAAAGAAAATAGTATAATATTATGTATTTCATTACTCTCAATGATAGAGAACAAAAAACATAGTGTCTTAACTGTAAACAATACTTGATTTTTCTAATAAAATAGATAAATACTACAAATATTTCTTAAATAATGCATTACACACATGATTTTTAACAAGTTAACAAACAAATAAATATCTTAAGAATTGGATATCTATTTGTCATAATTAGTTTTCACATTAGATATAAAACTCAGCTTTAATACAAAAATATTAAACAACAGTGTTCTTAATAGATTATAGGTACCCAAATGTTAATATTTTTTTAGTATATATTTTAAATAGTCTATTGTTATAGTAAAATCACACTTCCAAAAATATTCCCAAATACATAATATACACCAGTGCACACTCGCTTCATTATTTATTCCGTTCACGAAAAGTTATTTTTAAATCCGCCTTTTTTAAAATGCCATTAGAACAATATGACGCTAATATTGTAGACAAAATATAAATATATTGCTATTCTATGTTAATAAAACGTAATAAATGCACTGTTTAACAATTTTGTATAATATTTACCTTTTTGATTACAATGTTTGTCTTCAAATTTGCACGGTCTATTTTCTCAAATAATTTTCTTATAATTCACTATTTGACTTGAAATAATTGACACGATTACAAGACTTGTACCTATTTGTTTTATTTAACTAATACTATGCTTTCGTTTATTGTTTTTGTTTTTTTTTTATTTATAAAACAGAAAGCATAAATCAATTACGTACACTTTTCTCTTCTCTTCAATTCAATCTCAAAGTCAAATGTTTAATGAATGAAATAAATTAATGTTTGCTTAGTGAGATAGAAGATATTTTACTTATGAAAGAAAGAGACAGATAAAACGAATGACGTTGTGCTAGACGTCAATAAACGACGTTCGGGTTTCTGCAGAATACATTTTTTAAAGTCAGTTTCCTTATTAACTATATTTCTAAAAATTTACCTTCGATTATGTAATAATTGTAAATCTTTATTGAATATAGTAAACCAATTTGTTTATTTGTTTTTATTCATTATTATCTGTTAGTGTGTTCTTGTTTTTTTTTTTTTTTCCATTCACACATTGCCGGAGGGCTAAGCATATTATTATCAATTAAAAACTTCTGTTTAGTTTTTTTTAAATATTGATTTATTATACGATAAAACTGAAGTTTTACAAAATTAAAGGTTTATTTAAGGTATAAGAAGTATATCGTTATTTGTATGTATTCAGCCCTTTTTAACGTCCCACTGCTAGGCGCGAGCCGCCCCTCAGTACGAGGGGAATCAGGTCATAGTCCACCACGCTGGCCAAGTGCGGGTTGGCGGACTTCACTGTTCACATGTCTTTTGAAAACTTGCTAGGTTCTCTCAGAGATGCAGGTTTCCTCAGGATGTTTTCACCACCGTTAAGACAAGTGGTAATCATGTTGGAAGTGATTAGCACATGAAAATATCAAAGATGCGAGTTTCCCAAGCGAGCGAGTATCACTGGCCTGCCACTGCCTTATCGCTATTTATAGTAGTACATTTTACAAGTAACCATTCCTAGAGCTGTTCTAAAAAGAAAACACGTGACTTGTGGATGGACAATTAATGGACTTGATGAAGATAAAAGGCTCCTTTTTGCGAAGGAACTAAAACAGCTAATATGAGTATGATGATCACAAAATACCTGTTCATGTCATTATGATATTTATAGACCACAGCTATCAAATAAATTAGGTATAATGAAATGTAAAAATTGGTCAAGTGGGAGTGGGTGTAAAGCGAAGCAGAAAAAAATGTATGGACTCAATACAAACGTAGTGTACCTGCGTCTAGGTACATAAGATGGGTCGTTCAAAATGAAATAAAACATTCTAAGTTATTTTTATTTAAATCTCTAGAAATAAGTCATTATGTTGCATTGTTCAATTATATTTACTTATGTTAATTGTTATTATAAATATATGACTCAAAAATAATGTTAAATACAGAATGTGGTACAAACGTATCCCGAAACGCCAGGCGCCAGCTAGATTTCCAGTTACAACTGTTTATTTGTTTTACGTTAGCTGTTGTTCGGCTGTCTGACTACGTTGCGTCTGATTATTATTTGAACATCAAGTGCAAAATAAATTATTATCAATAAGAGAAGAAAAGAAAAAATAAACACAACACACACTGATTTATTTTGTTTTATTTTAGTAACAAAATTATTTTATCATAATTTAGTATCACTGCCATCAAATTATTGGCTATTAAAATTATATTTAAAAAAACTACATATCTTGTATCTGCCGTGATGGGAAAAGTTAAAAACAATAAAATAAATTAAACAATAAAACAAATTAACAATTAAATGACTTTCTTTTTTGTTATTTTAAAACAAGTATTTTATTTTTAAAAACACTTTCGTGCATTTTTGTATTAAATTAAAAATACTGTTTCTTAAAAATCTAAATATGCGTAAAAATATATAAAATTAATATCTATTAATAATTAAAACGGCTTATTTCTTTTTGAAAACTACCAAATATTATAAATGCAAAAGTAGGTTTTTTATTTATCACTTTGTTGATCAGAGTGATGCGAGGTTGGACTGTTTGATTAAAATTATACCTATGCTAATATTTAATATATAATTATTACCTGCATAAGTTTAAAATTACTTTTCGCATGTAACTGCCTCGTTGATTTAGTAGCTAGCATTTACGGCTGCAGATCTGGAAGTCCTGGGTGCGAGTCCCGGGTCGACTTAAGAAATTCTCCGTAATAACCCGAAGTTATGAAGAGGGTGGTGTATCACCCTCGTGTGTGTAAGTTGTCACTCCTGAGTTTATTTTCTCACCGCGAGTGTCGAGTTGTCGTCTCACCGGATTATAAAAGTGTTAGGAATAAAGAGTGCCTGTTTTCCAATTAAAGAGCATAATGCCGCACTTTGGCGCACAAACACGAACGATGCGAAAAAACTCTTCTTATATTTTCTGCTACTAAGTTGCGCGCATCACGCCAAAGCAGTAGGTACTTTTCAGTGCCCCGGGGGAGAAGCCAACTCCTACCGGGCGCGTACCCAGGTGGCGGATAGGGGCATGCCACCCGCTTAGAGGGGCGGGTGGTACCGGAGAAATCCGGCGCGGACCAAATGGCTTGGATGGGGCCGCTCGTCTAGGCCTCGAGCCGAAGACGTTGCGGCCACCGGTGATGGGACCGCTTGGTCCCACAACCGGATGATGGGTGCCGGTTGCGGGACTGTGGTCGCAGGCCCGCATTCGGCGGAGGGGTAGGCCGCGGCGGGAGAGGAGTGCCGGTATTTCGGTGCGCCGTTCTCCCTACCTTCCGCGGCCTAGACGGGGCCGCCACCGTTTGTTGGCGGACGCGGTGGGGCTGCAGGGGAAGAGGAGTGTCGGTGTTTCGTTGCCGCTCTCTCTGTCCTCTGCAGCCGATTGGAGGTGGCCTACTTCGGTGGGTGGTGTTTTGGTTTTATGGGGCTGCTCCGGGTACCTCTCTGACGTAGCAGAGTTGACTGTGGAGCAGCCCCATTGGTTTGGTGGTCTGCCTAGTATTTAGGCAGACCTGCCGCCGTAGTGGTTATGCGCAAGCGATCCTGCGGCGTCCCACTAAGGCGGGGGGAAGGGATGTCTGGTTTTAGTGGGTAGTACCGGCTCTTCTAGCCGGTGAGCCCCACATCACCACCTGGGGATCAGGTGGTATGCGTAAATGCATTTCCCGACGATAAAAAAAAAAAAAGTGCGGAGCGTTGCTGTAGTTGAAAAATTCGAAGTTGAGCATCATGCCGCATACTGCGCTTTAATGCTGTAGATAATTGGAAAACGCCCTGTGCGCTATACGCAATGCACTGTAATATCTCTTACGCACATGGCTATTCTCAGTGAGATTGGCTATCGTGGTTAAAATCGCTCAGGAGGACAGTATACCTATACCTATTATAAAATTACGTAAGGCAATAAAGCGTTTTTGTTTTTAGTTTCATTAGCGTAAAATTCTACAAAGATATTAAATACTTTCATTATTTTTATCATTAGATACCCGTTTTCTGCATACTAATTTCCTTATTATTTTAAACTACATAATTAAAACAGTCATTCTGATTTTAATACTAATCATAACATCACTTTCATCTTTATACACATTTGGCACACGGCTTCCTTCCTACAGCGCTTGATCTCTCATCCAAACAGGCTGGTATATTTTGGCAGAATCTTGAAACCGCCTTTCGTCCTCGTCGTACATTATTTGCTTGTGCCGACTGTGGACTACAATTATGCAGTATACTGATATACCTGTAGAAGAAAGTTTATATAAATATTATATTTAGAATGTTTAGATATACCTACTTTTATTTTTTTTAAGGTTGCTACCCCTGATGGGTAGCATATTTTAAGCGTACCTATCTTTTCGAACTTGGCGCGGTTTTATTTAGAATTTTTATTTCCTACTTTTCGAATGCTTTACAGCAAACACGGTCAATCCGAAATCTGAAAAGATAGGTTCATTTAAAACGTCAAATATTCGCATAATTAGAGAGAATTGTGTGTGCTTGGTAAGATAAATAAGTATTATATACGGTAATAGGTGTACCGGCAAACATCTATACAGATAAATAAAATTGGAGTATCTGTTTTTAATGTCAAAATACCAGCGTTTTACTAAATGCATTTGAAATTATATACGGTACTTATAAGAAAAAAACAATGTTTAAAATTTTGGTCTTTTAAAAGTTTGTTCCGGATAATCTCCGAAATGGCTGGACTGATTTTGTCGGGACTCTCACTGGAAGATAGCTGATGTGATAGGGAGTAACAAAGGCTACTTTTATTTTAGAAAAAGAATTAGAGTTCCGCTCAAAAAAATTAAAACGTTTCTAAGAACGAACCCGAGCGAAGCGACTAGCGAGGGTGAGTCGCTAGTTCCGAATAATAATATTAATTAATATTAATGTGAATGCGTTTCTGCCTCGTCCATCCGTCTGTATCCGAACATCAACAAAAACAAAGTTCCATACGTGTTCCGCCAATCACGATCTGTATGGATTTTAACTGTAATCTGTAATTGTGACGGAAATGATAACCGTCATCTTTTTACCCAACTGTGGCGAAGCCCAAGGGACGGTTATGTATGTAGGTTTTATGTATGTATTTATGTATCTATGTACTATGTATGCATGTATGTATGTATGCTCGATTCTATGTTCCCTCGTAATTACTAAACGGCTTAACCGATTTTGATGATTCATACGTTATTCGATTCGTCTTGATACGCGAGTATCATACTGTACATAGATATCATTAAAAATTAAAATGGCAGATCCTATAAAATCTTGTTTTTTATAAGTAGATAGGTACTACGTACATCGTATTATGGCCTTCGAAATTTATTATAGTCGAACGAATGTGATGTCACATCGCACGCGCATGATCAGAATAGATTCTTTAGGATAAAAAGATGTCAAAACGTACTTAATGGTCGAACCACCTGTCTCTACTCTGAAATATGTAATCAAATCAAAATATACTTTATTCAAATATGAAATAGACTTTTATAAGCACTTTAGAATCATTAATTTTAAATGTATAATTAATTTAAATTAATTTAAATTTTGTTTTTTTAAATATAATTATAATATTGCAATACAATAATTAAGTATGTCCTTGTCTTGCGTGAGTGCCAACTAACAGTTATCCCACAAGTTTGTATCAACAAAGTATTCTGCGACGAAATTAATATGGTTTGCCCAATAAAGAAACTGGAATCTGTTAAGGAAACTTTCATATAGCCTGTGTTAATATTTATTGCAGTATTAATGTCTACAATCTATATGTTGTGTATGCTCCATTGATACCGGACGAATCTAAATACTCCATTTTTAAAACATTACAATAATAATAATAATTTTCCTAGCCTATTATTATTGAATGTCTATTCAGCGTGTAACACATTCTTTGTAAATAGATAGTCAGCTACTGAATAATAAAAACAGAATTCAATTTATAAAATATACTAACATGCTCTAGTAAGGTGAATGACTACAACGACAATTTCGACAGCAAGTGTTTCTCCTGTATCCTGCAGGATGAGGCTGATGCCGGTCAGGCACAGCACAAAGAAGACACCAGTCAGCATTCCTGTCACTATCGTCCATGGTAACGTTAGAAAGGGTAGTCTCTGAAACATTATAAATAGGTAGGATAAATAAATAAGTCAATATGGTGGGATATGAACACACACCACTATCTAGTTCCATGGTAAGCTACGAGGTCTGTATTATGAATACCAGATAATTGATACACTACACATATATAAACTTTAAATATATATATATTATAAATACTCAATTCTGGATTACAAACATTTGTGCTCATCACACAAATGAATGCCCCCAGCGGGACTCGAACCCGCGACTGCTTGCACAGCAAGTAGGATCACTACAAATGAGCCAAACGGGTCGTCAAATTATGAAACGCTACTTTAATTACCGTAGTTTTCTTTATTCAATTTAGCTATATCATGTCTACAATAGAATTGTTGCTGGTCATTTTTTGTTTTCTTTTTAATGTTGTACCGTAACTATATTACATACATATGTATATATAGATACAACCGTGCTAGATTTATCTTAATATTAACGACAATATAAGTCAATAAAAGTATTTTTATTTTTATTTTTTATATTAATTATCCATCTTCATTATTAATAATAATTAGTACTAATGGCAATTTAAGTCTAAAAGATAGACGAACTAAGCTAGTCCGATCCCGGGACCTCCAGATTTGCACCAGTACATGCTAGCCACTAAACCACTGAGGTAGTTTCTATATACTTACCCTATACGCAGCGACAATGAGAAGGATCGAGCACAGGAGAGTGATGCCACTGACCACCGCCGCTGCGATGTACAGAATGTACTTGTGACTGGAAACAGTACCATTCTTTCCTAACGGTGTTAATGTCACGAGAAGAGTGTAGCCTGCTAGTTCTAGTAGCGACCATATCTGAAAGAAGATAGTGAGAGAAATTAAAGAGACACAGATGGTAGAGTTACACTATTGTCAATTATCGATATACCTATTATATCTGTTTAATGCGATCTCTTTCAAAAATACCGTTTTCATATAAATAAATAAATAAATATGTAATAAATATGTTGGGACATTAACACACACCACCATCTAGTTCCATGGTAAGCTATGAGGCCTGTGTTATGAATACCAGATAGTTGATACACTACATATATATAATTTTAAATACATACATATTATAAATATAAACACCCATGACTGGAGTACAAACATTCGTGCTCATCACACAAATGAATGCCCCCAGCGGGACTCAAACCCGCGACCGCTGGCACAGCAAGCAGGGTTACTACAAACTGAGCCAAACGTGTCGTCAAAGTAAATAAATGCGAAATGTCAATTTCGAGATGAACAGTTTTGTATGGTTATGGGCTAGGTACCGAAATAAAAAGTAGCAGAAGCAGGAGCAAGAGCAAGAGACTGCTAAGGAGTACTTTCTACTTCAGTATATTGAGTTTTATTTTTATTTAACATTGCAAAGGTCACGCTACGCAACACCGACAAGAGATGTCAGTTTAATAGATATTTGGATTTTGTAAAGATTTCACTATACCTGACTACTCAAAATGCAATTATTGGCTAAAATCAAGAACTAACTTTGCACTAGGCTTCTTAAAAAGGAAATAGAACAAAACAAGAAGAGCCGCATACAAATGTTAGTAATTAATATGAATAATAAATTAGTGTCAACAAAATATAAATTTGAAGACCGAGCACATTCCTATACCATAGCAAGCCATTTTGATCAATGCGTCGGAATTTCTACTTAACCTTCCATACGACACATACTTCTCAGAAATATATTTACAACAATTTGTAGACCAAATGTAATGCTATCTTATGATCAATTGAGAGTCGTCTCTGATCATATAAATTATAAACAAATAGTGCCTCCAAGGCTATGACGTCACTGCGCATGTTGTATTTAGAAAGATGACATAAGAAAATATATTTATAGCCATAAGAGGTATTACTTAATTTTCTTACAATTTATTTAAAAGTTGTAATCCTACTAATATTATAAACCTGAAAGTTTGTAAGAATGTAATGTAAAGTATGTTTGTTACTCTTTCACGCCAGAACGGCTGAACGGATCGTGATGAAATTTGACACAGAGATAGATGATAGTCTGGAATAACACATAGGATACTTTTTATTCTGGAAAAATATACGGTTCCCAAGGCATGGATTTGTTTTTGTTTTTCTAGAGGCGAACCCCAGCGAAGCGAGGGTGAGCCGCTAGTAACTTATAAAGTCATACCAAACAAAAAGTTAAGATACATGAGGAATAAATGAACATTTCTCAACTAGCACGCTGAAGCCAATAACAAGAGAATTGAATCGAAATTAACATTTTAAAATAAAAACATCTTGTGTAGTTAGGAAATAGCTTTATATGAGGAAGGTGATGCCAAAGAATGAATTCAATTTCTTATGCTATTATCGTAACTATAAATAGTACAATCTGAGTCATGAAATATGAACTGTGCACGTGTTTTACGTATTTTCAGTTTCAGCCGTCCTTCGTTGTACTATAATACCATAGAGTGTGTATAGGGATAATAAAATTATTTTATCTGTAATATTAAAACTAGTAACGAATAATCAGCGAGAAAAGAAAGAGATAAGTATAAATCTTTACCTAATCTATTATTTATTGGAAAACAAAGTTTCTCTACATTAAACCCACAATAATACAATTCGCTAAGCATTGCTTTTCGAAATATGTTAATACAAGTACATAAGGTAGATTATAGAGATAAATACGTGTAATGTAATATATATAAAGATAAAAAACAATCATATGTTTTATTGTATATAAAAATATCATTTCACAAGAGAAAAATGATGAATTCACTGAAAACTGAGTATAAAACACACGAGCACTCACCGTGTATAAATAGCCTATGATCAAGGTCCCTGTATGTAAACTACCGCATAGACAACAGCTCTTGACCATCGGCACACTCATAGCTTAAAGATCTAACACAACAATAAAACGATAAATAACTATAATAATAACAAAAACGACATGTCAGCCGTAACGTCCTGTTCCACTAAAGATCGCACTATCACTGTTTTTATTCGCCAACATTGCAAGTAAACTCTTTGTACTCTGTTATCAAACGGTGAGTTTTGATCTGAGTAATCTATTGATAACATGTTGTACTCAGCCTTGATAATTTAACGTATGAACGTATATTATCAAGATCTAGTTATTGCTAACGACCTCGTCTTCCCTCGTCCCTGCTAACATTTTGCAGTATAAGTATTTAATAATAACTATAATAATAATAGATCTTCCTCAGCGATGCCGGTACGATGGCCAATTCCGCTGAGACAAGCCATATGCGCAAGAGATATTATAGTGTGCAAAGTTCAAAATCCGGCGGATCGACAATTCGACACGACCGCAGGATCGAAGTTTTACGTTATTGGGACATCTTAACCCAAAACACTCAATAAACTATATTTTTTCCGACAGGGACTCGAACTCAGGACTTCCATATCTGCATCGATACTTGCTCGCAACTAGACTAACTGTAAGTGTCATATAAAAGCTATGTTCCCGGCCCACTATCTCTATGTAGAAAATACTTTGATTCTGTTGTTGTAAAAAGAAGGGACCAACAAACACACTTTCTCATTTACAATACATATATAGATAGTCGATGTTTGCAGGACGAGCCTTGTTTTTGCAAGTACGCGGGGGGTCGTAATGTCGAGTCTTGCACGTGACAGACGATTCTGTAGTCGGATAAACAAATGCATTATTATACAAATAATAAAAAAGGAACAAAGCGAAATCTGTAATTGAGATATTTCTTTAAAAAAAAGACTGTATAATAAATGTATTCTGTACAGAATATAAACCCCAAAACAATAGTTATTGAAATTTTTGTCTGTTTGTCTGTATATCTGTGTGCATTTTACGCAAAAAGTATTGAAAGGATTTTAACAAAATTTTGTGTAGTGCTTTATTACTGCGTATCTTATTACTTGGGTCAACATTTAGGGATACCTTTTGGCTTTAACTATCTCTCATTCCCTCGGGAAAATCCAATAACTGGCTCGGTCGATTTGTCCTTTATACTTATAGAAATTGTAATTATTTATTAAATTACATAAATCATTTGATTAGTAGCAAGTTAAAAATGAACATATTTAAAAATTTTGTGCATTAAACTTTCTCATTTTCGCGGGAAAATGCATTTAGTTCGGGCGCAAGTAGCTCATCTACATATTCTATTTCTATGCATAGTACGAGTATAACACAAAGCCGCTGTCTAGGTCTTTCTGTTGATTCGCTTACCTTTTCTAAGGCAAGCAATGGATTTTGATAAGGTTTCCACTAATAGAAAGAGTGATAACAAGGAAGGTTTGTGTATAAAATTAGTAGAGGGTAAGTCGTTAGTATTGTTTTATAAATTAGTAGGTATTATTTATAAGCAACAGGATCTAAGTTTTATAAAAGAGAAACAATATAAATATAATCATTATCGGCTTAGTAAATTTCTTCCTAAAAATAAAAAATAAAGCACAAATTAATTAACAGTAGTATAATATAAAAACATCCTGTCACCCATCCAGCACAATGTCGTAATAGTCACGGCAGGTGAATGTTCTTGTGAACATATTTACATATATGTATAAGATAATAAATAATATAAATTATATTATCAGCTCGTAGTAATTTAATAGATATTATTTATTATCTTATATATTATAGAATACGATACATAAGATATATTATTAACGTGAGGTAATAAAGGAAATACAAAAGAACGTTTGTGTACTTATTAAAGTCTATTGCACAATTATCTAATGATTTCATAGAAGATATCTATATCTATACATATAATAAAATTCTGAGTCGAATCTGGATATTAAATATTTCTTGGTAATTTTTATTGTAATAGTCATTAATATCAATACAGAGGCCGAATCTATAGTTTTTAGAATTTTTGTCTGTCAGTCTGTCTATCTGACTGGGAACACATCACGAGAAAACCACTGAACAGATTTTGATGATATTTTGTATAATGATAGCTGATTATCCAGGTCGTTAAATATATAGAATACTTTTTACTGCGGGAAAATATATCCTATCTGAGAAATCTATACTAAACGTTAAAACGTAGCTTATAAGGACTCAGATAGAACCTGGAAGCTGGGATATCCATCTATACTACAAGCTATTTTAATGTTGAACATAAGTTGAATTACAAACAAAATTATATTTATAAAAAACAAAGCATTTTTCCTTTTATCTCTGTTTGTTTATCTTTAGCGCGGATAATTTCCTTTCACTAGTTCTTTTCTTTGGTGCACTGTGATAATTTCATTGTACTTAATAATTGCATTTACTGCAAAAGTGTATGATTGTTAACTCTTATTTAGTGTACAAGTAGGTACATGTTATGCCCAATTGTGAATCCGTCCAGTTGTAAGTCTGCCGAAATCTAGAAAACTACTGGCTATTTATCCTGGCGACGTTGAAAATCACACAGGCTAAACCACTTAGGAACAATTTATTTTAAATTCAACCCCTAGAGGTAAAAAGGAGCGGCAAAACTTATTTATAATATGTAGTTTATAGAAAATAATATTATCAAAAATCAAATTCAAAGCTGCCAAGTGAGGCTGAATTAAAAATTCAAAAGCTTTTCAACATATATCTTAAAATCAGGAAGATTTATTAGTAACTGGAACACTCACTTGGTATTATATTCAAAGCCGACAATTGTTTATACTAATTAGTAATTACTATTATTCATTAACATTATAAATTTTAAATGCCTGCAATGCGTTTTAAATTATAAGAGCGTAATACAATATTGCTCATAATTTTCATTCAGGAAATTCACTACGTTATTGAAAAACGGATTGACGACTGACGAAGAGTTGTATAATGCCTTTGAAACATATAAAACCTTAATCGCCATGATTTCAAAACGTCGGGAACCAAAAATCTAAATAAATCCGAAAAGATAGTTTTATTTAAAATGTCAAATATTCGCGAAAATCTAAGAAAGTTTTAAGTAAATTCTAACTATTAAATCGATTTTTAATGTATAAATAAATAGATCTCTGAAAAGCTTTTAAATATTTTAACAATAGGATTTAATTAATTAAATATAGTACTATATATTTTTATACCTAGTTTATTCCTATTTCGATGCCCGCTTTCGTCATTTTTAATGAATTTAAAATTAATATTTGATTATCCAAAATTTCACTTTAAATTATGAACAAAGGTTTTGCTTTGCTAGTGTTAGCAGGAATAGGCCGGCCCGACTGGAGAAATACTTTACTCGTATCGCGCTGTTGTATTTTATTCAGAAAGGCTTCTATTGCATTGTTCATCCTCTTTATCTCAATTGGTTAAATGCGGGTGGTGACCCAGATGTTAAAACAGTATATAAACTGCAGCTTATGACGATACGTTTGGCTCAGTTTGTAGTGACCCTACTTGCTGTGCCAGCGGGCGCGGGTTCGAGTCCCGCTGAGGGCATTCATTTGTGTGATGAGCACAAATGTTTGTCCTCCAGTCCACGACTCATGGGTGTTTATATTTATAACATGTATGTATTTAAAGTTATATATGTGTAGTGTATCAACTATCTGGTATCCATAACACAAGCCTCGTAGCTTACCATGGAACTAGATGGTGCTGTGTGTTAATGTATCAACATCATTTATTTATTTACCCTCAAGGTAGTATATCCAATATACTCCTTAGTTGGTAAAAATATCACATATCGTACAAAAAGTATGGGTTAAAAAAAAACAATTTTCTTAGTAACTTAGATTAGAATATAAATAAATAATTATTTTCGCTTATTAACGTTGAATCATGTAAAGCCCCTCATAACAAATATCTTCGATAAGGATTAGCTATCTGTGATAGCGTCACATTCTTTAATACAATTATTAGTTATTAGTCAACTACACCTAATAACACTCGCGATCTCGTACACCGAGTCATTGTTAAACATAATTCGTAATTTTTTTTTATTTAACATTTTCATTAATATTTTAAACTTTAAAAAAATGTGTTTGCATCTATCAAATTGCTGTTTTTGTGTCAGTTTAGATTTTGGTGCGAAAATAATTTCTATCTTGAACTTAGTAAGTACATAAAGCTTTTACCAATAGTTTTCCGTGTGCATTTTTCCACTTACTGCTTAGTAATCTAAAGTAAATAAGACTATATTTTCGGATGTATTCGTGATTATACTTTACTTTTTTGGTCCCGATGTTTTGAATGCTTTACAGCAAACATGGTCCCAAATAGACAAATGATTTTGATGTCTTAAAAATATAATTATTACAGAAGATGTCTACTTATACAAATTATAATTTATAAAAAAAGTGAATAAAGTATTAATAACCAAAAATCTGGAAAAAAGTTTTATTTAAAAGCCTTTGAAACAAAAACAAATCCAAATCGGTCCAGGCGTCTTCGAGCAATCGGTGAACATACATAAAAAAAAGATTCTGATGAATTGAGAACCTCCCTCTTTTTGGAAGTCGGTTAACAAACACTCACTAATAACTTTCGTATTTATAATATCAATGGAATTTGTATTTCTAGGTATCCGTAGTGATGATCACGATGTTGTACGGGACGGCCGCCATGATGCCGTACCTCGATGAGAACAGGAAGATAGTGTACGCTATAATCGCAAACGTCGGGATGTTCGAAATCATCATTGTGTGTATTCTAATTTATGGGGTGTTTGGGGTAAGTTAGCTTCCACTATCTCCTTTAATAAATAAGTACCTATACCCCTTTTAACATCATGCTTAAAAAACAAATTGATGGGAATAAATTCAAAGAGTTTAGCTATATATGTCTTGGGATGATTTGATAATTAGAATTTTCGTGTAAACTCCTAGGGACATTGCGAAAATACGGATAGTTAGACGATGGTTAGGTAAGTTTTATTTTTTGATAACGTGACAGTTCCGACTTGGATAACGTAGGTTGAGAAGGCTAAGAAGAAAAGGCTAAGGCGGGAGCTACATCTTACTCAGAACAACCATTTCTTTCTTTCTAGGTTGGTTAGGTTAGGTTAGAACAGTTTTTACAAAAACCCTATCTTTTTCCAGTTAGATTGAGAAATGATTTCACCATTCTCTAATTATCCGTGTTTTCACAATATCCCTAGGGTTGTCGCGAAAATTCGAATAATCAAATCATCCTACGACATACATATATAATATATATGAACTGAACCTATTTGACTTAGATTCATAATAGGTACTTACTTCTAGCATTCATTTTGAATATCTGGTGGAAAAAAACATCCCATTTTAATGATGCTTTCTAATTCTTATAAACAAAATGTTTTGCTATCACCATTATGAAAGCTTCTAAACCTTTATCTGACATAACATGACATAAGCCTAAATCCGTAAAGTTTAGTACAAATCTTAAAATCTACAAACTAAAACACCATTTTCTAGGAACTTTACAAAGGCATTGACTCGGGGCAAGAAACTTAAAATATTTATTTTGTTCTGATTAACATTAGAAATCTATTTATAACATTAGAAAATTCTGATTAAAATTAAATATGTGACATTAGATAACTTTATAACGCACCATCGTTTAACAATTAAAAGAAGAAAACCAATTACGTAGTCTATACATACCTATAATAAAATTGTAACTTAGCCGAACCTGTACATTAAATATTTTTTGAAGAATCTTATCGAAATAGATATTATTATCGATACAGAGGCCGAATCTATAGTTTTTAGAATTTTTGTCTGTCTATCTGTCTGTTACCGCATCACGGAAAAACCACTTGAGGGGTTTTGATGAAATTTGGTATGATGATAGCTGGTTAGCCGGGTCAACATAAAGGATACTTTTTAACGCGGGAAAATATCTCATTTCTGAGAAAAAATACAAAAACTGCATTGTAAGAGTATACTAATATGTAAAACCTAAGAACTTGGTTTTTGGTCATCTGAACGCGGGCGGAGCCGCGGGCAATGCTAATAAGATACAAATCTCTTGACCTTCGTCTACCTTAACATTAATAAGAAACCCATACATTAAAGAAAAATATCGTATTTTATTAAAAATAATGTATATTTTTTTAAATGAAACAGAAAAAGCCCTGCCTAGTCCTACCATGGCTGATAACAAGTTGGTTGTTCTGCATATCTCTGCTGGGTCTCTCAGCTCTGGGCACTATCCTCATCGTGCTGCAGTACACGGGGGACCAGGAGACGACCTCTGAGGTCAGCACTACTTCTGCTGCCTATGGGGTTTCTGCAAGTTAGTATTTTTTACATATGTATATACCTATTACCTGTATAACTTTAAATACAATTACAATCGATTAAATAAAATTAAAAAAAGCTATATAAACAAATCTAGTGAATTTGTTTTTAGAAAGTTTTAGAAATTTATACTGTCTGTACATGGAACATATTTCAGAAAAACTATTATTACGCAATAAGAACCAAAACAATATTTTTTAGAATTTTTATCTGTTCGTGCGTTTGCGCGCGATAATCTCACTAATGTATTGTAGCTTCACTTAACATTTAGTATTTGTTTTATTTCAATCGGTTCATAAGTATAAAAGTTATATTTATTTAAACAAATATACTAAGTGCCTGTGTATAAATTTCATCCAAATCCGTCCAATCATTTCAATATCAAGGTGTTACAAACATACACTCATACAAACTTTGACAATTGTAATAGTAGATATTATTTTGTATGTTTTCAGTCGTCATGTACTACTCTGCCTCCGTCATCAGCAGCCGGCGAGACGAGATGCTGCACAACGGCGTCATTGAATCAGCGCAAGGTCTCATGAGGAGAGATTATGAAAAATATACAGTATAAGTTCGGTTTTAACAAAGAGATTGATATCTCAAACCTAATATGTTATTAACCGATTCACAAAGGAGGAGGTTCGACATTCAGCTGAATTTATTTACGTGTGCACATTAGATACATGGTGTATTAGCGTGACAAATATTGCTGATCTATCAAGTAATATTAATAATTAGTTTCTATTGAATAAACTAAAATCTTAAAATAACCTAAATTATTATAGAAAAATACTACCCTAACAGTGTATTATTACTTTTTTAGTGTATTTCCTCTTTGTTATAATAAGTCATAATTTATAAAACGTTAGCACTTGGAGCATACTTTATATAGAAAATTAAATAAACGCAGTATCTGCTCGGCCTTTAATAAGACGAATAAAAAATTATTATTTGTCCTTTAAAAAAAATATAAGGAAGGAGGAATAGACTAAAATAAATATGTAAGTAGAATAAGTACCTCGGCTGAGTTCGGTAGGATAAGGTTATATTTTTTTTACATATAGAAACGCACCTAAAAATATTTTTTTAAAAGCTCTGGAACTTAAAAGTTTAAAAGAATAACTTTCTAATTCAGCAGTGAGAATAATTATTTTTAAATAAAATGAACACACTGTAATATGAACATTGAACAATGGTGAAGTGCATGTCCCACAAATATCTATAAAGCAAGAGGGAGTGTAAATATTTGATTGTGGAGCAGACTAATTTGTCTTGAATAATCCTTAATATTCACATTATAGCAGTCTACTATTAGTTATATAGTTTACAATAAATAAAATAAAAATTTGTTTTATACCTACATTTTATTTGACCAAACTAAAAAAAAACAAATATCTAAAGTAAATTATAATACATACACACAGATATATTATAAAATAATATAAATAAGTATATACAAAACGCTATGTTTAGAAAAATACCTTCGAATATATTACCTAATGACAGTAAAAGTATCATTTTCGGTGACTGACTTTAACTGAAGACTTGCACAATATATTTATACCGATCCTGGTGTGATAAGCCGCTATAAGTCTTACGTTAGTAAGTCGTTACGTATCCCGCTAGATACCGACAGTAGACTTGGTAATGGTTAAAATTTATGCACTGATAGAAAGCCTCACTGTCCCTTAGTAACTGTAAATAATTTTATCGACGCATGTACCATGCGCTCTTAGCTACGGTCGGTGTACGAATAATATATTATAATGAACAAAAATCCTAAAGCCATCTCCTGATTCACTTATAGACAACGCACAGTCGCTAGGTCTAGAACGAAAATGAAAGTAAGCACTAATGGAGACTTTTGATTCTATCTCTATAGGACTAAAATAGAGAATTAAAGTTTATGTGAAATGAAATGAAACTATTTTTGTATCGTCAATTTAGTTTAAGCGTCAGTGTAGTAGGTCCGTGTGGAAGATACCACCGGCTCGGAAAGCAGTTCTGTTGAGAAGAGCCGGCAAAAAACTCAACAGTTGCTCTTTAAAATATCATCATCATAACATAACAATATAGATATCCCGCATATGATGCAATATTTCTCAATTCCACACATTTCCATCTACAAGAAACTCTTGAATAGAGTAATACGCTTTGCTCAATAAAGTATTTGTAATTTTATCTTTAAATTTTTAAAGAGGTACTAGATCTAGTACATTTTGTGGAATCTCATTATATACGTAAAAGTTATCGTTTTTAATATAAATATATGAAAATTGTCATAGTCGTAGTCTAAGCTATTGTCTTTATTCCACGTGTGCTCATTCATGATAGGTCTTTTTATTTTATTTATAGTATAAACATAAGACAAAATTTCACATTTCCTAATGAGAGTTGCCTAAGAAAAAGAAATGAGTGATTACGAGTACAATTGTATGCGAGCTCGGATACAAAGATAATTACAACCACTCACGATGGCAGCTCGTGTTCGATGAAAACTGTTCTTTTATAAAGCGAGCCGTATCGATATGATAACTTATGGTTTCCCTTCAATATTGAGAGCAAAACATAGGATCTTTTATGCACTTAGGGAGACGATGGTAAGTCGTTAGTTTTACTATACATAGTGAATGAATGAATGAAATAAAGCTTTATTCTAATAGACTTATTAGAAGCACTTTTGAATCGTCAATTTAAAGCGTCAGTGCAGTCAGAGTAGAGTGTAGTTTACAGTAAGAATAAGTATTTTAACTATAGAATTATTAAAAAAGTTTTATTGAAATACCTTCGCAAACTGGACTATTTCGTGTTTATTGCAAAACTAATATTATGCCTAATTTGATGGTCTGTCCGACTGTCTCTTCTATGAATAGCTTTAGTAATAATTTCCTTCTAATTGATTTCGGTTACTTTAGAAAATCCCCCTGAGACTAGCGATCTCCGCAAGAACGATTATTGTGCAGTGTGAATACGCGAAAACACAAATAAACTCTTTACTCCTGTCACTGTCATACTCTGATGGGACGGTAATTTAACGCTAATACTAATTCTAATATTTATAATAAATAATACTAATACTAATATTAATGTTTGAATTGAAATTTTAGATAGTTTTAAGAAATTTCGCACAAAAATAAAATTATTTGCACTTATAATAAAATGGAACAATTATTTTGATTTCAAATATTTTTTTAAGAATAATAAGCTGTCCTGACAGGGATACTTGTTATATTATATTTAATAAATACTACCGTATCGATGGAAACTGTTGACATCACTAACTGCTAAAGACAATTCACGTTCGGATGAGCATAACCGCTTAAGATATTATAAATGTAACGCCATGGTGACAGCCGCTAGTCATTATGGTGACTTCCTCGAACCTCACACCATGGTAAGATTTTCATACATTTTTATATAATTATATCTAATAAATTTAGAATTATTATTATGCACGTATAATTAGAATTTAGTTCGAAACAAAATATTAATTTATTGTGAAAAATTTACAAAAGTTATTCGAAAGCAAACGTATCCAAAATGTCCTTTACCAAAATGAAGTAATACCTCATTTTTTATAATTTGCATCAAGTAAGAATTGAACTCCTGACCGTTCACGAAGTACGATGCTACCTTAATATAATTTTATTATATTTTGAAACGAATGAACTACTATTACTTTAGCTACAAGCAGAAACATATTTAAATTCTGTATTTTGCTATAGTGACACGTGTACTTATTTTTGATCTGTTTTTGATGTTATATATACTTCTGAAATCTTCATATTAAGTAATATAATATTAAGTATTTCAATAATTAGATTGACAAAAAAATTATTGAACATTTGAGATCCCTCTTAGGGAATAGCCTGCCTAAGCCCTGAAGGGTCGGGCAGACTACATATATTACTAAGCCTATTAGGTGTATCAATGAAATTTTACAAATACCAATAGGTATGTGTTATTATAACAAATATCATGTAAAAAAATGTTAGTTGTTATTTTTTGTGTAACAAACGTAAACCTTTGTGTGTAACAAAATAGTTATACGGAGGCATAAGCGCGTGAATCCTATTCGCACATAGCCGATAAATTAAAAATAAAAATCATTGGAAGTAACATAAAATTTCATCTTCTATTCAAATATAAATGGCTTTACAATAGATATTATCTAAGCTCTTCTATTTCCATACACACATTATATGATTTTAGAAAACGCTTTTGAATGTTAATGATTTTTTTTTATGAATGACAAAACATTGATTTCATTTTATTATTATATATTATACTTGCAAATTACATACTATATATTTGAAACTTTTACTTTTAATTCTTTACTAATAGGTATCTTTTACGAAGCAACTGATTGACTCTATTTGCATAGAAAAAGCCCTTAGGGAGATGAAGGATACATGTTTTTCCGATATATCATACAGTATATAAGTACATATATACAAAAGTCCACTACAATCTTATAATGTAGACTATAGAGCCTGACTAGCACGTACGTCTGCAGTTCTGAAGGTCTGAGTTCGAGTCCCGTATTGAGCCAAGTACAGTTATTAGGATTTCTATCAAGAAATTCTCAAAAACAGCCTGTATTTATGAAGCTAAAGTTCTTTTGCACTACAATAACGCCTGTGCAGTTCCAGTAATATTGGCCGCAGTGACCAGAATCGTTCAGAAAACCATTCTCATCTCTCTCTCTCTGGGCCGCCTCAATCCAGGGGATCATAGCCCACCACGATTTCAAATGGCGGACTTCACATGCCTTGCAAAAACTAGTTACGTTTTCTGAAACATACAAGTTTTCTCATGATGTTTTTCTTATCGTATTAACAAATGGTAATCATGTTGAAAATGATTCGTACATGATAATGACCCGGGGTTTGAACCCGCTTCACTTTGTTTGCCAATCAAGAGCGTTACCACTTGCCAAATAGATTAAAAAAAATACAGAACTTAGCGAATTAAACAAAATACTTTTTGATCTTTACAGCGCTTTATAACTGCTAAGCTTAACCTACATACTGTGCTAAGCTTAACCTCGACGGAATCGTGAACAAGATAATATTTTACGAAATAATTCATAAAATTTTATTATTTTTACATAAATACACTTTGTTTTTATATGAGACCTTCACAAAAATAATATCTATATAACATTTAATTATATTTAAATTGAACGGTTATCTTTTTATCAATGAAAATTTACATGCACGTACTTTAATTAATAATAAATAGATATTAACGGCCTTCCCAACCTATCTGGTATCTAAAACCCATATACGGAGCGCACGAACAAATGCTAACATCGGAGCAAATATTCAGCTATAAAAATATTTACGTCAAGCGGAACCCGAACCTGTGACTCTGGCATGCAGGCCTGTACTCCCACCACAAAGCTAAGCCACAAAACTGCTCAAATGCATTTATTTACGTATATCTTTTGTCAGACTGGATTTACAGGACCGGGTTTCAATTCTGACAACATAAGACGATTGTATTGACTTATATATATATATATATATATACCACTTTAATATATATATATAAAAGTGGCTTCAC